CTTTAAGTCACATTTACAAATACACTCGTGGTACCTTGTCTAGAACTCTTTCACAAAAGAAAATATTTTGGAAGGGATGACACATTTTGTCTTGTATAGGATTCCTCAGCACTCACCAGAAAAAGTCTTCAAACCAATAAATAATCAAAGGCCTTATTTTAATATTACTAAGATGTTTAAGTACAATACTAAGTTATAAATACATTCTGTAAGAGGTAATAAATGCTGCTTATCGCTCACTGACTAGTTTAGAATCTCATTTTTTTTTCTGCTGGATTTAAAATTTCTGGTGAAATTGGTGAGGAGTGTACTCAGCACATCCTGTTAGCTGAGTCAATTGAAATTGCACCTGTTCTTGGATGCAAGTCATAACAAATGCAACCCATATACATTGTAAAGAAAAGGACTTGTATGCACTTTTTCCAATTAACATCTGCCTTTTGGCAAGTCATTAACCTATTTTCTCACAAAGAAACGGCTTCAATTGTATTATGCATCCGAAGCGTGCAAAAGTCCCCGAGGGGGCACTCTGACAAAAACATACTGTTCCTGAATCCAATGTGAACATACATATTCATTAATTGTTTGGGGCAAAGAGTACAGAATTTCTGATTTGTAAAAGTCTTACAAGGTAAACGGGTTGCATAAAGCGACGTCCTTGGAAGTACATTCACATCCCGGCTACCGCCACTCAGTAGAAAACTCAAGAGTGGTCTTGTGCTGCGATGTGGCAATGAAAATAATTCAGCAACACTGTAAAAAGGAAGAAAAAAGGAAGAAAAAAAAAGGAAAAAAAGGAAAAAAAAGAAAAAAAGGAAAAAAAGGAAAAAAAGGAAAAAAAGGAAAAAAAGGAAAAAAGGATAGAGGAGGGGAAAGGAATTAAATGGAAAAAAGGGAGGAAGAGGGGAAAAGACAGAAAAGGGGGAATAAAACAGGAAAGAAAGGAGGGAAAAGGGAAAGAAGGGGGAAAGGAAAGAAAGGGGGGAAAGGAAAGAAAGGAGGTGGGAAAAGAGGAAAGAAATAAGGGGAGGAAGAGGAAAGAAAGGAGGGGAAAAGAGGAAAGAAATAAGGGGGTAAGAGGAAAGAAAGGAGGGGAGAAAAGGAGGAAATGAGCACAGGAGAAACTGGTATTGTTACAGCCTTAAACATTATCATTTAAAAATACTTTGGAGTACTGACACGTATCTGAAGCGAAGGCAGCTTATTTTATCGTTCACACGGTTAGATAGTTACAATCCCAGTGCCCTTCAGACCATATTTATTGCTGGCATTTAAGCCTGTGTCGCATTAACAACAGTAGAATAAATAAATTAAAAAAAAAAAAAAAAGTGTGTACAGCTTCCATAGGTCACTCTTCTCCTTCTTGCCCTGAAAACACCTGGATGCTTTGCTCCCCCCCCGAAGTGTGCTGCTGATGAGAACAGCTGCAGGTCGGCACTAGCCACATCTTCCACATTTCGTTTGTTAAAGGTATTTCAGAGCAACGTGAAAGCCGCTGGCACAGATGATGGCACACAGCACAGCATCAGCCCCGAGAGGAGGTACCCTCGGCGGTATGGCAAAGTAAATCTCTCTCGTTTAATTCGTAAACACGTATGCACGTTTATGAAACATGCTTTTATATATAAATGGTTATTTATATAAACGGTTATTTATATAAACATGTGTATGTATATACATATATATACGCATACTCACATGTTTATACACATACTCGCAAGCTAACAGTTTTCTCCTTAAAGACAGCAACACAGCTTAATCTCAACAAGCAAACAACTGCAGCAGATAATATAATATTTTCCTCCAGATTTCCCGAGAAAAATATTTTATTTATTTTTTTAACAAGAGACCTATTTTTTGCTTCCGATCTGTCCATAGATGTACGGCACCAACCGAATGCACACAGGTCTGTGTGTGCACGCAGATGTGCAGAACTCACATCGACTTGGCTGCTCTCCCCTTGACTAAATTTTTAGTAATAATAATAATAATAATAATAATAATAGAGGGAGCTGCTGTGGTATCAGGAGGTATCCCAGTCAACCCACTGGTTTGCCCGGTGCACGCAGCGAGAAAATATCTTAAATTCAATCCCTGCACTCTGCTTTGTGCTTTGCAACGGAGGCGGCTGTGCCGGGGCCGGTTCCGTGCTACTCCCCCTCTCCTCCTCCCCCTCCCCCCGGAAAGCCTCGCGTTTATTTCACTTATTTTAACTAAATTATTTGATATAATAAAAATAATGATAACGGGATTATGACCTCCGTCGCTGTCTTTGCCCACCGGCGTTTCAGGGCTGGCTCTGGGCGCAGGGTGGGTTGATGGATGCTCCGGCAAGGAAGACCTGAGGGGTAAGGGAGGGGACACAGCGCCGCGGTGCCCTCCTCTCCACCCCGAGGACCACCCCAGGGATGCAGCA